CGAGTTAAGCTCAGTTAAACCTATGTTTAATATTCATAATCATAATCTTACTTTAAATCTATATTGGCTAATATGAATCGTCAAATGAAAACCAGTTTCAATGCTAATGCTAACATTAATCTTGTTTACGTGATACAATTAAGTTGTACATGCAAACAAGATCAATTATACGACGATTTTTAAATCCACTCCTCAACTTTTGACTGCTACCTGTAAATAAGCTAAGTCTTTCTGTACAATAAAAATAATCTATGTAAACATAATTTTCATCCTTTATAAAGTAAATTAGTTTCGTCTATAAATAATAGTATTGTTCATTTATCGTTAACATATATTTTATATGTAAAAATAGAAGATTACAATTTTAAATATTGTGATTGTGAAATCAATAAATGTTATCAACATAGGGCATTATTAAGAGATGTCTACCATACCGGATAATATATCAACATTTGGGCCGATGTAGTGGTCGAATATTTCGTTAATAATGCAGAGTATGAAAAATATGAGGCAATTACTAACGATTTAATTGAACGTACATCGGTCGATCTGGAGATTTATTTACTAGAATTGTATGAAAAGCTATTCACCGTAAAGTCTGATTATGGACATAAACGTTGGCTTGAAGGAAAAAAAAAAATTATTAGTAATACTTTTGATAATAAAATTAAAACTAATAGTTAATAGACGAAACTAATTTACTTTATAAAGGTTGAAAATTATGTTTACATAGATTATTTTTATTGTACAGAAAGACTTAGCTTATTTACAGGTAGCAGTCAAAAGTTGAGGAGTGGATTTAAAAATCGTCGTATAATTGATCTTGTTTGCATGTACAACTTAATTGTATCACGTAAACAAGATTAATGTTAGCATTAGCATTGAAACTGGTTTTCATTTGACGATTCATATTAGCCAATATAGATTTAAAGTAAGATTATGATTATGAATATTAAACATAGGTTTAACTGAGCTTAACTCGACTCAGCATATGGCGAATTTGGTACCGACATACTATCGCACCCCCATTACCTATCTTAATTTTAATTTGGATGACGAGACTGTAGATGAATATTCAGAGTGGTATTTATAATTTGTAAATAATAAGTTTGTTTTGTTGTAAGTTATTTTTTTTTTTTCTTTCATATTTTGTATATAATATTAATAATAATATACATTAAGGGTAACATAATTATCAATTGCTTCTAGTGTTATGCATGTGACAGGATAAAGTACAAGAACAGGTATAGATCTTTAAACATAGTTTTTTCATGCACATATTCTATTTTACATCATGAAATTTAACATTTTTTACATGTGATAATGAATACTGTACAAATATGTGCGGTACAAATCCCCCATACAAATACCTTGTTATTTAACCGCCAAATGTATAGATGTTTTTAATTTAACCATATTTAATATTATTTTTTAATATCATTATGATAATACTATTGCAGTGATTGATATGTCAAAGCAGACCGACAAAATTACAGTCCCGTCTTTTAACCTACTTATTAAAATTGAAGCATCATCCACGTTCCCTGCTAATACAACTGCATATGCTATAGTAATTTCAGACAATGTATTTACATATACACCTTTTGACGGTACCCTCCGTATATTTTATCATTTTTTACATGTTTATGTAAACATTTATTATTAACCTTGTAATTATTATTATTATTATAAAATAAATATATTATATACAAATAACAACACTGTTTTTATTTTTAGATTATAAGTTTATTATAAGAAACTAGTACAATATATAAAGTTATTGTTTATAAATTATTAATATAAGTTAATTTTCTGACGTGATTGGGTTTCGGCCATTGTGAAGCCCATGGACTATAACTATTTTCTTGGCTATACACTGTTGTATTGAAAAATGTTGGACCATCATTTTCATCGCACATTTCTTCTTCTTTTTCCTAAAGCATAATTATAAATTTAATAACAATAAAGGTTATTACAATCTATGTTCATTAAACTCACATTAATTTGAAGCATGTCTTTGGACCATGACTTGACCCAACTATCAACTATTACATTGTACGCTAAATTCTTCAGCTCGCTTATGTATTTACTGTCACCTTTAGGAATAGTATCACATATTTCTATGTCGTTCAAACTTCTTATAAAATTAACCATTTCATCATTGTTTGATTGTTGAATTTTAGGGCCCGACCATTTACTGTCGGCGTATTGTATAATGCGGTCTATTTGATGGCTTAATAGTAAACGTGTTTTTATTTTTCTTGATATTGCACTGTTAATAGTACACTGTAAGTCCATAAGTCTATTAATGTTTTCGTTATTCAATAACACTCGACACCCATCCACTATTCTGGATTCTAATACTAAATGCATGGTATCACGGTACAATACTTTGGTTATATTAAAATCGACATTTTGGTATAACATAATGTTCTCTCCTTTTACCGGAGGTGATTGTAGAAATAATGATATTTCATCCATCATGCCGTAAATAATATTTAAATAATCTGCTGACATACTAATATATCGTGAAGGAGTAATAATGCATACCGTAACATTGAAGTCATCCTTTGGATTCAGGCCCACTTGCAAAAATTTTCTGTCGCTGAACGCAATAGTGTAACTGCTAGAGTCAATCATCTCGGCTGGCGGTGTTGGTGCGATATAAATGTAGCGCTGTTTTCTTACAGGTTCGGCAGCCATATTGTTCATAGAGTCTTCTTCTTAGAGCTGAGGGTTCTTGATGACACTGTGACTTTATCAACGATTTCACGCTCATTTATGCGGAAAAATCACATATTTTCATAGGGGGGTCAGCAAATCACGAATCACATATCCCCGTAAACTAACCCATTCCTTCACCACTTAAGTGATTTCACTTTAATATCATAATAATTAATTTTAAACTCTCGATTTCTAAATATTTGTATACAAATATATGTATTAGATTATGTGTATACATGTTTTATACAAAAACGATTACACATTAATGTCTATTAACAAACGCAGTAGTGTAACTGAATAATCAAAAAAGAATTTGATAAAATATTATTTCAAACGTATAAATATTTTCTCTAAAATTAAAAAATAATTGAATTCTTATGAAATATTGCACATATTTCTTTATTTACTTTAATATCATAATAATGATCACCTTATGATGAGTTTCATCATCACCTCCTCTTCTATGTAGGGGTAAACTGCTGATTAACTGTTTTAATTATTCAAGTAAGAGGGCTCTCTATGACCAAAGGCCTACTCATCACATAGCTATAGTTGGGTTTCGTTTGATTAATAGCCGCTGTCGCCGCTTGATTACTCCTTTCACTTTTCTGCATTCAAATATTTTCAAATAATTCTAAAATTATGTAATTTTTAAAATAGCTCCAATTTTCTATAATATATCAAGATATACTATATGATGTTCCATCTACCTCAGTATACTATGAATATACCAGGGTATACAATATATGATAACTGTACAAGTCCGCATTTGTCCGAAAAAGTAGATGAGCATAAATAACACTTAAATCGTATACCGTCATGTATATTCCTATGCAGCAGTTAAAAACAGTTTTTTGACAACGTACACTTTTTCACACTTGTCACAAGAAAACATTTTTTAAAACGTTTAAGTGATACAACACTATTAATTTTACTCAAGTAATACTCAGTCTTTTATGTGAAATTACTCATTTATGCGGAAAAATCACATATTTTCATCGAGGGTCGGCAAATTACAGATCACATATCTCTGTAAACTAGCCTTTTCGTTCACCACTTAAGTGATTTCACTTTAATATCCTAATAATTAAATTTAAAGTCACGATTTCTAAATATTTTTATACAAATATATGTAATAGAGTATGTGTATACTCAATATGTATACATATGTCTTATCCAATAACGTTTACACATTAACAAAAAATATATCTATTAACAAACGCAATAATGTAATTTAATATCATAATAATTAATTTAAACTATCGATTTTTTAAATATTTTCTCTTTAATTAAAAAATAACTCAATTCTTATGAAATAGTATAATAATGTACATATTTATTTATTTACTTTAATATCATAATAATGATCACCTTATGATGAGTTTCATCATCACCTCCCCTTCTATGTTGGGGTAAACCGCTGATTTACTGTTTTAATAACTACGTTAGTCAAGGAAGGGAACTCTCTATGGTCAAAAGCATACACGTCACATAGCTAAAGTTGGGTTTCGTGGGATTAATAGCCGCCGTCGCCGCTTGATTACACCTTTCACTTTTTTGCATTCAAATATTTTCATATAATTCTAAAATTATGTAATTTTTAAAATACCTCTAATTTTCTGTATAATATCAAGATATACTATATGATGTTCCTTCTACCTAGGTATACTATGCATATACCATGGTAACATATACCATGGTATAACGAAATGATATCTAGGAACGAGAAACATCGACCTTTCACCATATCCCCCCGGCCGTTTACACCGTCCGTCCACCTATGGCAGGGTAAACCTACATCATGTGGGTGGGAGGACTATGCCTTTCACCATATCCCCCCGGCCGTTTACACCGCCCGTCTACCTATGGCAGGGTAAACCCACAACATGTGGGTTAGGAGGGTATCCAGCTTATATATTAATGTTCTACTNCGGGGTTGAACAATATTGAATAAATGAAGTCAATTATCCTACCAAACTTTATTACCTATCTTAATGGTTTATTACGCAATAGAGTATTTATAATTTGAAAGCGGGAATTTAAATTTGTACTTACCTTGTATCCCACGTAGTGTAATGTTTATTTTAGACAATCCAATGTTGATTATGAGTTTACACTGTATTTCACACGTTGTACACTTTGAGTTCGACAGTAAATATGATCGTTTGGGAATAAAGCGTTTAATTATAAATAATACGAAACCGTTACACAAAATCTATGACTGTATTACTATATGCAAGAGATTCTATNACGAAACCGTTACACAAAATCTATGACTGTATTATTGTATGCAAGAGATTCTATACACTCTATATTTTTATAATTATAATCAAATAATGTATCTTTAGTTGACTTAGTAGAATGAGTATATTGTTTGAGAGATTATATTTTATTGAGAGATCGACACCAATATTTCTTAAATTTTCCTCTGGCCTGGCCAAAACAAGATTCAGAAATATTTATATCTATGTAAAAGATTTGTCAGGGCGGAATTGTGGTGGCCCAATGTGTCCCGGTGCTAAATTAAAGCACCTTGAAAGGATGCGGCACAATAATCACCAAGACAAAAATTAAACATTAAAACATATATTCGTAAGTTTCTCTGTGCTGTCTGCCGGCGCGATGTTCGTTAAAACAAAGACATTAAACCTTAAAAGACTAGCTACCCAATACACATAGGCTTACAAATATATTCTAACCTAATACACCTAACTTTTAAAATCTTTAATTGCAACCTTTACCCTGTCTGCCGGCGCGATGTTCGTTAGAACAAAGACATTAAACCTTAAAAGACTAGCTACCCAATAAGTATAGGATTGCAATACACTTAGTCATATAATAAATATTTATCATTAACTGAGAAAATTAGAGTTGATTCAGTTTTATTATATATATTTAAAAAAAAATATGTTTTGTTTTAAAATATTAATTGACATTTATTTCCATAATAAAATAAAACATTATTATTTAATGAACAAATTAAATTAAATTAAAAAATTCACCAAAACAAAATTCACTTTAAAATCTCTAAGTGTCATTTATTTTTAAAGAAAAATATTAGCATATATAATAATATTAGCAGGTACACAGCATTATTATTATCAATTGTAGTAAGGCACATTGTTATGAGTTTATAAATACACTAACTGACAATACAGAAAGTATATCTATTGATAATCATAATTGATAATAAACAATCCGTGACTGAGACAGCAATGTCATAAAAATCCAATTAGCTACCTGTATTTACAATCCCATGTGTATTATACATGTATATTAACTCAAAATTTTGAAACTTTAAATGTTTATATCTAATAAGCTAATAAAGTTATATTAAAAATTCAAATGCCATTTACTATTAAATTAAAAACTCAAACATTTTATTAAATTAAAAATATGTGTTACCATTTAAAAAAACAAAGTTGACCCCCCTCCAAGGCATAAGGGATGAACTTAAAAAGTATTACATAGTTAAAAATTCAAGAATAATGTGTAACTAAAAATAATAAAAAAAAAAAATGTTTAAATAATTATTATTCTGCAAGTAATTGAGTGGGTTATGATAAAAAAATCACCCTGTATATACCTCTAGAACTAAGCTCTAATGAAAGCAGATTTTATTCTGATTCTGTTTACAAAACTTTTAATTTTATTTAGTAGAAACTTAGTTTATGTGTATCATAAATTAAAAAAAAGTAAAAAACATGTCTAACTTCACAAAGAAAATATTTAAATTTTTATAAAATTTGATCAGAACATTTTAGTTATGGTTTTATGTTAACATTTTAATATCCACTAACACAAAACCTATATTTGAAAGGACAAAATAGTACAAGGTTATGTAGGTTTCTTGGTCATTTTATTTTAGAAGACTAGATTTTATTTTCTCCTTCCAAAGAAAAATTTTTGATAAATATATGACATCATTTTTTTCAATTTTTAGAAGAATACAAAATCACCTCTTCCCTAACACTTAATCACATTTTCACTTATTATTAACTATAATATAAACTAAAAATTCTAGTGGTTATTACAATGTTAAATGATTTTACACTAATATAATATATATACATATAAATTATTCATTGATCCAATCTATCTAAACTAGATGAAGCAAAAACTTACTTAAATAACTTACTTTTTTTGTAACAGGACTATTAGATTGAATTTTAGACAGTTCATTTAAATTTGGCTTTACATCAATAGATTTTCTTCCATCATATTTTCTAAAATGTAAACATGAAATTTATATATATATACAAATTTGAGTAAAAATAAAACAAAATTAATACAAATTAGAATAATAATGAGTTTTAATTTAACTTGGTCTCGCCTTGCTTTGTGATTAAGGTACCTCGTAACTCATGCCACCTTTGTCAGCCATTGCTCTACTACATATACATGGTAGTTTGACTGAGTAACACCATGTGCCATATGTCAAGACACAAAATCCAGCAAGTATTACACAACCGATGATGACCAGTTACAAATAATCATTGCAGTAATCTGTATATACTGTACTATTCTATCGGGACCACTGGTTTCAAAATTTGACCATCACCACATTCTCAACTGGATTGACTAATGTCACTTAGCATATTTATTTTACCAGGCTAAACTTTGTGAGAATATATTTATTCTGTGTAATATTATTTTTAATTATTGTATTTATCAGTAAAATATACGGTCCTACACCAATTATTATTAGTAAAACTAGTGTCATCTACATTTATTCCTATAGAGGACCCAATATCCCACAACAACAATTATTTTTTAGGAAGAATATCAATCATAATTTGTCATTACTTTTCATTTAACTTATGTTCATCAGGAATTTTAAAAGTTTTGATTAGTGTGCTTAATTTTTCTTTATTTAAATTATTAGCATCTAATTGTGATGAAGTACAATATGCTACCCATGAACCAACCAAGTCTGATGCTGAAATTTTATGTGTGATACATATTATTACACCTGAAAAATATAAATATAAATATTATAATAAAAACTAATATTAACTAATGACAAACATTTGTAAGTTATAATGAAAAAAATTATATCAAATGATTCTAATCTATGAAAAGAATTAGATATCTAATAAATATTAATATCAAAACTTTGCTGACTTAGCCNTATCAAATGATTCTAATCTATGAAAATAATAAGATATCTAATAAATATTAATATCAAAACTTTGCTGACTTAGCCAAAATAAAATTTGGAAAAATAGTATTAAAATAATTGTTATAATTTAAAAAAACCCAGCACAGGGGGGTCGCGGCACAGTGGTGACGTGGCATAGTTGGATCAAGTATAATAATATATGACAATTATTAAAATCACTATAAAAAAAAAAAACGCTTCGATGAAAATCTTTAGATGGTATTTAATTCACACTTCCTGTGGGCTGTTAAAGGGTTAAATTTATAAAATATATATACCAAATAATAGGTAAAGACATCAAGCATCTATAAAAAAATTATATTGATTTGTTCATTTTTGAAAAAGTTATGGCTGTTTTAAGTAAAAAAAATTTCAAAAATTAACGATTTTTAAATTTGTAATTTTTTTGGAGGTNTTCGAAAATTAGCGATTTTTAAATTTGTAATTTTTTTGGAGGTTTCCCCCATTTACGGGGAACGAGGGAAATTTTTTCAATTTTTGAGGGTAATGTCTTCGACTAGGTACGATTTGTGATCTTTTGACGTATAATTGAAAAAATCCCTTCGGTGAGAGCTGAGAAAAAGTGGTAACAAAAAAAAAAAAACACATCATAGTAAATTCAATACCTTCTCAGTTTCGCATCGAAGCTAAAAGATTGATACTAATACAATTTTAGAAAACTAATAAATTATTATTTTTCAGTTTTTAATAAAAAAATGTTTAATTTAAATAAATCAATCATAATTACATTTTTCAATTTTAAATAAATTAAGTTTAAATAATAAGTTTAAACAAAAAACTGATAATTCATCAATTATAGTAGCAGGTATAGATAAACCCATATCTTCAAATTCAGTCTCTAGTCTCTATTATGTATACATCTATTTTTAACACGCTTACATTAGTTTCACCTGTATGTATGTATGTATGTATGTATGTATGTAACTCTCCAAACGCCATGCGTTTTCGCATATTCCGTCGTCTAGACTAGACTGTCATAACACATTCACCCCACACTCGCCGGCAATACTAANACACGCCTCGCTCACAATACGACGGTACACTATTCCTATAAAAATTTTTTTGGTTATCGTACCCGTACACGCGTGCTTGTCATCAATATTATATATATATATAAACAAATTTTTATTTTGACTGACCATTATCATCCGCGTGCCATACGGCTTACGTATATATTCCTACTGCCGTTTATACCTCAGGNGTTATACGCATTCACCCCTCCCCACGCCTCGCTCACAATACGACGGTACACTATTCCTATAAAAATTTATTTTTAGTTATCGTACCCGTACACGCGTGCTTGTCATCAATATTATATATATGTAAACAAATTTTTATTTTGACTGACCAATAACGCCCGCGTCTAATGCGCCTTACGTATATATATATATATTCCTACCGCCGTTTATACCTCGGGTATAACGTTAGTCCGACCCGCCCGGCCATAAAACACAGCTATACTTAGTGCATGATACTTTTACGTAGTTAAGTCGCATTATTTGTATAAATATATATATTCTAATTACTATTAAAATTAATATATTAACACGATTTATTCTAATTAAGAGATATAAAGTATTCATTCCGATTACGAGGGATGATTTC